GTATCTAAGCAATTAAAAAGAATGGAAGCACTGTACAGAAATGTTCGTTTACCAGAGTCAGTACGCGGGATGGGGGGTTGAAGGTCATATGCGCAAGCTCTAGTCAGAGCCCATTGTCGAATAGAAGATAAGAATTTAAACATTTGCTTAAATGAAGATGGAGCACTACTGGGATTTGTGAGGATGTTAATTAGTAAGAGAAGCTTCCTAAATTTAACAAGATCAAAAATTGGGATTATTTGAATCTGGGAAAAAAGAAGAACAGAAGGAGTGGAAAAGTCAGCGTCTAGAATAATACGTGCTGCACGCTTTTGCAGTCGAAGAATGCGAAGTAAAAGTGTTTTTGAGCAGTTTCCCCAAGTTACAGAGCAGTAGATAAGACTTGAATTAATACAGGAGTTATAGAAACGAAGAGCACAGTCCTTAGTTAAAAAGGGTTTAATCCTGTGTAATAAAGCAAGTCTACTATTGATTGTTGAACACAAGTTGTCAATATGCTTGGTCCAAATTAAAAACTCGTCAAGCGTTAAACCCAACACTTTTGCTTGCTTCACCTGTGCAAGTATGTTGCCATTAAGAGTAATTGATAGAGAACGGTCTGAAGTATTCTTAAGTTGTTGGGGAGAATGAATGAGCATGGTCTTGGTTTTCAATGTATTAGTCACCATTCGGTTTTGTTGAGTCCATGTTGAGAGATCTTGAGCAACAAGGTTAAGTAAGTGGTAAAATGTTTAGTCATTGGTGTATTCTACGAAAATGAGTGGGTTTTTTGCCCAAAAGATTGCGAATAACTTAACAAAGTTGCTCCATTCTGGAAGAAATATTTAGTTTGTATTCACGATGAATTGCTCATTCAAGCAATCTTGGGTGTGTGCGGGCGCACAATTGTGTGTCCCTTAGAGCAAGGCCTGCAATTAGACCTAAATTACATTAAACTAATTGGCAAAACTGTTGTCAGTCTGCTTGTATTCACAGCACGTAATTGAAAATTAGCATGTGATATAATTTACTATGATGTCTTTTGCAAGACCGATTCAAGGCTGATCGAATTGTGTTTTTATTATAATGATTTAGGTTCAACTGATTAAACGAAGATGACTACATCATCTTAACCTGTCAGCAAAAGATGACTGCATTTTTCTGAATACAAGAGTTTCTGCTAAATTACTCTTTGTAATATAAACACAAATTTGTGCTACCTTTGGCATTTGCATGCACACTGATTTTAAGACAAAATTATTTTGTGTACTGTTTGCAGTCTCTTGATATATACATTCTATTTTGTTGGCCAGTTCTATAGTCAGCACAATTTGTATGGAAATAAGGTTTGCTGAATTATAACTATGATAATACAGACCAGGGGCGGATCCGGGGGGTATCGAGTGTAGCTCAAGATACGGTCACATTTTTTCGATTATGGATAGTAAGATAGTTTTGGGGAAAAATTCACCATTAATATATTTTCAAGCAAATTCATTTCTGTTTACAAAAATAGTGAAAATTTGAGTTTACTAAGATGAACGAGGGCAAATTCTTTCGTAAATTTTAAAATTCACACCTCTAAATGTAACATTAGACGTGTTTTTAAAGCATTGAATTATTTTCGACGAAGATGAGCCGAGAGCTTTCCGAAGGCATAACCTGAGGTTACGTAACCCAATCGGGAATATGTTTTTAAATGCGTCTGCGGTGTTCTGATACTGTCCGCGGTTCAAATGTTACTAAAAATAGTAATTTAATGAGGTATTTGGATACCTTGGAGGGTATCCAGCCAATCACAGGACGTGTATCTATGACGTCGGATACCCTCTGATACTGTGGCTGTATTTTGATCGTGCAAGAAATGAAATAATCGTGAACTGCTCGGAACCTTCGTCTCATATTGCTAACAGCCGCATTCTTCTAACGTAAACTGAGTGAGCAATGGCCTTACATAATTTCAGAAGACGTCCTTGAAATAACACTTTATAAATAGTGTTTTGGATGCCAATTCGAACAAGACTATTACGAAAAGGATATGTCCGAAGGGGCCGAAGTTATGTTCGGTGAAAGGTATGGCTAGTTTACATTGTTCAAGAAAATTGAGTATTATAGAGAAATATATATGACATTGCTTTACCTCTCAAAGTTCATAAATCGCTATAATGTTGACATTTGACTAAAACTGTCGTTAGGAATTAGGAGATATTCTTTCAATGAACTGAACGGTAGTATTTTTGTTTTCATAGCATTCGCCTAAGCGAAGATATTAATCTGCAAAGTCATATTGCGCCGGTGCAATATGTTATTAAATAGGGGTCGAGAATATTAAATGTACTCAGTCGCGAAAGCCGACTTTTCTATGTCAAAACGCCCCCGGCCACGTTTCATGAAGCAGAAACTTGAACACTGATACCAAGAACAGTTATTGTGTGTAACAGTTTTTGTTACTTTATGTTTAAAACATGACCTTGTTAAGACATTAAAACATGACCTTGTTAAGACGTTAAAACATGACCTTGCCAAATTTTAGGACAGAATCATCGGCTCACAACGCAGGAAATGGCATTTCCGGGGTTCAAATTTCAAAAAATTTCCGGGGGGCATGCCCCCGGATCCCCCTAGTTATGCGAGACCTAGGAATATGATACGGTCAGATTCTAAGCTAGATCCGCCCCTGACAGACCTACCGTATATAGGTAGCTGCAAGCGCAATATCATATACAATGCTTCATGCACAAGACTCAAGAGGATGTGTTTTCATTATAAAAATTTAGCTTTAACTGATTAACCAAAGATGACTACATCTTCCTAGATATATACATTCTCTTTCACTATTTGGCTGGCCAGTTCTAATCAGTATAATTCGTGCAGAAATAAGGTTTGTTGAATTATAACTATGTGGTAATACAGACCTATATACTGTATATAGCTGCAACCACAATATCATGCATATACAATGATTCATGCATAATAGAATGTGTTTATACTTCTGGACCTTGCAGCATGTCAGTCTGGGCTGGATCGCCAACGAAGATTGGTAATACCCATGGAGGACCTCTGCCAAATTCCTTCAACTCCAACATACGTACTCCTCCGTAAAAATCACCTTGGATTGCGTCACCATCAGGAACCACATGTACTTCATTTTGTCTGGTCCTAGCAGTTGCCGGTGGGTTCTGGTGGTATGCAGCATTACATGGCTCAGGTGGTGGATTTCGCCCTGCATGGAGCATCAGCTCCAAATAAGTTTGTCTTTCGAGCCTTTCTAAATCGCCATTCACAATCAACAGTGAAGAACGGTGCAGCACTTTCTCGCCTTGAGGACAGTCGGGAGAGTCGCACACAGAATTGGAAAGAATCAGTCTTAGGCAAGGCAGCACTATATCTTGTTCACAGCCCGAGACATGAACCATAGCAGATCAAAAAATAGAATTGAGAGAGCTGCTTTAACCATTGAAGCTTTCCAGCAGTGTACACTTCATCAGCAAAAGATGACACAACTTCTGATAAACATTTAGCGTAGGTTTCACAGGGGGCAATGCATATTCTATCAAATTGTTCAATACCGCTGGATGGCTTCGTAAATACAAATAAAATATGGTGAGGTAGTTATCTATCGGGCAAGTATTAATAAGTTTGATGATGATGTTCTCATCCAAGGAAGCGGTTCTGCCCCATACCGGAACTGCAGGTCTTGGTTGCAGTATAGGCGTTTCAACCACTGTCTTCTCGTATCGATCCATGAGACTGCATCTCAATGATGACTGATTACATTCCATGTCATTTGTTGCTTTGTATTGGTCCTCCCAATGACCATGGTCGTAAGCAATCTTTGGTCGACAGTGCTTTGGAATTATCAAGCATTTATTAGATGTCTTAAACTCATACCGATCAGGGCCAAATAGCATATCAAACAAACCACAAATTCTTGTTAACCATGTGAACTCATCTGCCGAAAAGCACAACTTCTTTGGTTTCCAACCACAGCCTCCAAAATAGAATTCACGTCCTATTAAATGTAAGTATGTAACCAAATTTTATTTTGAGCTTTCCTAATATTACCTATTTTATTTGCAAGGCTATATTTTTAGATTGATTTTTAAACCCACAAATACATGTAGTCAAGTCATTCAAATGTGCAAAATTTGATTACAATGAACTTTATGCTATCTACCTGACGTGATGCATTCCTGCGCCTTTCGTAGTGCTAACCGGATTGATAGCAACCGGTCTGTATACACATGCGTGAGAATTTGCTTTAATGAAAAACAAAAAAAATCCACAGTAAGAAATAATATAGAAAAATGTTTTGGGTTTCCAGAAAATGTATGATGAAATTAGTGTTGAAGATTAAATAGAAAAATTGCTTAATTTTTAACTCCTATCATTTTCGTAAAATGTTAACATCCAGTTGGTTATGATTTTAACAAATGATTAGTGAAATAATTGGCAATGGTGGGATTGCAGATCCAAAAATATATTATTTAATTAATAAGATACTCGAATAGTCTTTGGAAGTCATGTTATGATTGGTAGCTTGTTGGTACAATCGACGGTCACTTTATGCAAGCTTTCGCACCCCTGGTTGCTAAATTCCTTCATCGACCCAAAGGATCGCATTAACATGGAAGGATGTTCGATAACCAGGTGCCTGTAGTCTCCTGTTCCAACTAGTGGACCAAATGACTCACACAGTTGCAGTCCCCATTCTTTGCACTGGAATATAAATAATACACAACTTACAGTATATTTCAAAATATGAACACAATGCCCATGCAGTAGTGATGCAACAAACACTGGCAACTTACATGTAGGCCTGTTTTCCACTTCGTAGTGAAACGTAACAAGTACATATACTATGTCATATAGTCTAAGCGAAACGTAGCATATATTTCTTTGGATCAGCTTTTTATTCTCAAAACAAAGATGTACAGTACATCACGGTCTCCACATTTCGCTATACTACATACGGTTAAAGTATGAAGTGAAGTAGAAAACAGGTTCAAACCTATATTTACCTTGAACAGAAAATAACAGAACTGATATCAAATGGATTAAACATGCTGTTATGTTAAAGTAATACAATACAAACAAACCAAACCTGTAAATCAAATACATCAATAGCATCCCCTTCGTCTTGCTGAGAAATTCCATCACGCATTACCAGTGCGATCCATGTAGTTCCAACCTAGTTAAAAAGAAACTACAAAATGTTAAGAAAATTGTTAAATGTTAATATATCACAACGCTTTAAAATTAATTTTTTACATATAACATAACATACCAAAATGATCAGTTTTTGCTTTAACTCGGATGCCAAAGAGACAGCAATATCATCATGCTCATCATCCCTTGGAGATTTAACATCTCTTTGATTTGGCTGCTGAGGTTACCCCAATAAAGTAACCTCTTCTGGACATGCAGATCAACATCACCTGAGATATAGATTAATTATGAGTTATAAAGCGAAATAAATCAATAAATTAAGTGAAGATTTAAAAAGAAATGAAGCTTAATTAATTGAAATAAACAATGTCTTTTGGTTGTATTTAGTAGTAGTAGTAGCAGTAGTAGTAGAAGCATTTATTTCAACACGATTAAATTCACAGCATAGCTGATGTGGTCGTGCATTTACATAGTTAACATATCTGTACACAAACTGTTCTATTTAACTGTCACTATAACAGTACATTACACTATAATATCCTGTTCTACAATAATAATATCTTACAAATGCTATATCACTTATGATAACAGGTTCTTAATTACTAGTTTAAACCTTTTAATGTCCTCTATTGCTCTTGTATTGTTATCTAGGGAATTCCATAACACTGCTGCTTGATACGAGATTGATTTCTTTAGAAAATCAGTCTTCGGTTTTGGAAGAGCAATAGTCAATTTTCTTCTTAGATTATAATTACTAAAATATTTTGTGAATAATGACTGTAGTGGAACAGGGGAGTAACCATAATAACAATTTTGTGCTAAAAATAACAATCTCTGAGAATATAACTTCTCCAGAGGTTTCCAATTTGTTTGGGCCAGAACATCCTCTGTTGGTGTTTGCAGGTCCAACTTGTGAATCACCTTGGCCGCCCGTACGTGTATACGCTCTAGTTCATCAAATAGGGTTTTTCCACATGATCCCCATATTACGAGCCCATATGTGATTGAGGGTAATATAACTTTAAAGTAAAAATCAGCCCTTGCCTTTATTGGTAAAAAATAAAGGGACTTTAAAAGATTAAGTTTTTGTGCGAATGACTTAGTTAGTTCGGTTACATGAGCTTTCCACTTTAATTTACTATCTATTTCAATTCTCAAACATCTGGAAGATTCAACTTGTTTGAGTAAGTGTTTCCTAATTTAATACCTTGCAATGGCCCCACGAATTTACCTCGCTCAAGTATCATGAATTCAGTTTTGTTCGGGTGTGGTGTTAAAAAGTTATTGCAACACCACTCATGTAGCTTACATATAACTCTATTGAGTGTTGAGGCAACAGAATCATGAGTTGGGCCAATTACATATATGGTGGTGTCGTCAGCATACATGTAGATATCACCTTCATCATCATCACAGATTTCAGGCAGGTCGTTGCAGTAGAGAGAGAACAGAATAGGGCCAAGTACCGATCCTTGGGGAACACCATATTTAACTGGCATGGACTGTGATTGGCACCCATTTAAGACCGTCATTTGCGAACGATCAGACAAGTAGTCGGCAATCCAGGACCAAAGATCACCAGCGATACCGAGACCCTGCAGTTTTTGAAGTAATACCGAGTGTGATATTGAGTCGAAGGCCTTTCGGAAATCAACGAACACAATACCAACTACTTGATTTTTATCGAGCGCCTTTCTCCAATCTTCCGTCATCTTAGCCAATAACAGCTCGGTAGAGTGACCCTTTTTGTAAGCCCATTGTCTACAGTTACTAAGTTGATTTTCCGTAATATGGGTTGTAATTGTTGAACAAACATTTGTTTCCATAAGTTTTCCTGGTACACATAACAAGGATATTGGTCGATAGTTTTGCTTATCCGTTTCGTCTTCTTTTTTGAATAAAGGCGTCACATTGGCTGATTTCCACGTTTTAGGGACGACATTAGAAGTCATACTAATTGTATAAAGTGACATCAGAGATGGTGTTAAAGCATCTCCGGCAAATTTCAACAATCATTAGTCAAACTATATATGCATCTGAGACAACAAATTACATAAAGGCTGGATAAAGACAGGTTCCTGGCTAACTCCAAAATCACAGATAAACATTTTCCCTGGCAAATGGTTGCTAAAAACTTAACGAAAAAATCTTATCAAATCATACAGTTGTGAAAACGAACTAGGCCTTGGGTTACTCTTACTTTTAATTTCACTGCTATAATCTTGGCTCCATCACGATTAAATATTCCAACAACTTTCATACTCATAGCTACATACTATCCAAATATTGAGCGGCAGGTACAAAATGCAGGTTGCAGGTTGGAATTTTGCAGGTTGCAAATTTTGCAGGTTGGAATTTTGCAGGTTGGGGATTTTGCAGGTTGGAATTTTGCAGGTTGCCAGGAACTTTGCAGGTTAATAATGCAAGCTTAAAATTACACCACTTTTTTAGTATTCTAGTATAATTTAGTTGTGCATTTATTGCAGTCTGACTCCTTGTCGGCGCCTCTGCTCTGAGGCTAGTGGCCATCACCCCCGTGAAAACATTCAAAATGACCAGATTGGCTTGGACCTACAAGGAGACGAATGCAGGGGCGTAGGAACCGGGAGGCCCCCCAAGTTTTGCCAAGTGCCCTTTTTCCGGGAGCAAAGTGCCCTTTTTTGTGTTAAAAATGTTTTAAGGATTGCCTTTTTTTGCCCAAAGTGCACTTTTCGAAACTTGAATTTATGTTATTTTCCGGAATATTTTTTTCATTTTGGGAAAAAATATGTCCGAAAAATTTTTTTGTGTTTCCGAGCAGCTGGGAAATTTGTTGCGCATGCGCCAGATTTCCATTGAAACTTGAAGATTCCCCGAAGAAATAACGAGATGTTCGTGGTTGTTGTATATTTTTGAATGCCTGTTTAATCTTTATAATTTTTTGCTCGAGACAAAGTAAAATGTACTCTACGTTTCCAGTGTATAGAATATCTCGTTTGTGTTTGAACAGCAATAGAATATTATAAACTTGACACAAACAAGAAGACATTTGACACGCTAATTCTGCAGTCATGCCTGCCAATCGTCGCAAGCTTGACTGCCTTGTCAAAAGCAAAACAAGTACGAATTTGGGTTCAAACAGAAAGACGTTCAATGTTAATACCACTAACATATATTCTATACAAATACGGGTGGTTTAAAATGTTTTCAATTGAATTGTTAAAGCTTTTATCTATCGACATGATAATCAAACTGTGAAAATGCCGGCTTTTGTTGACGCTTGCGAATGCAGAATAACTTCCCGTAAACAGAGCATTTCTACACAAAACTCTCGCTTAGTCTTCTAATGCACTTGTATGTTCGGTTCTACTAGTTAAACAAGGAAAATATCCAAGAAACTTGGTAAATTATCGTTGTTATAAAAACATTTCAGTGCTGAGGCAGTACAAGGACTTAAGGCCAAGGGCAAGGTCAAGTTGTCGATTTCATTACATTTTCAGTAGTTCGAATGTTTTCGAACTCTTATCTCATACAAGAGCAGTAAACGCACGCATTTCAAAGCGAAATTAGACGCAAAGGGGCAATTTTTCAGCAAAATTCATTGTTAAATTATGTTTCCTACGTGCCTTGGGAGCAAAAAAATATGATTTTAAATTTGGAGATTTCGGTAAATATTTTTGCAATTTGGCCTGGTATTGCACCCTACCTATGTACTAACTGTGCTGTAAAAGTAATCAGATATACTATTTTTAATTTCCTTTCATTGAAAGGATCTACTATTGTGGACTAAACTAAATTTTAATCAGCATACAAGGCTGCAAACAACAGCCAAGAATTAGCTGGGTAGTTTGCAAACTTTAAAAATAATTGGACCTCAAACTTTGATCTCCAGAAGTAAACAAATAGACAATACTGCGAACATAATCCAAGTTTTGATCACGAGGGGCAATTTTTAGATGTAAAAAAACTTGTTTAAATTACATATCAAACTAAGGCAAAACAAAATTTGGTATTAAATTTTTGGTGAAATGGTCAAAGTTTTTTGCTATCCGCCCACACTTCTACACCCCCTCTCCCAGGATATTCTACTTCAAAAAACAGTTTTCTGCAGAAACTATGCTTTTTTATCGGAAAAATGTTTACTTTTCTCAAAAAATACATCATAAACACGGAAACCTTAAATATTTAAATAATTTTCATACCTTTTTGGGATTGAAAAAAGCAAAATTTGATTCATTATCCCACTTTTTAAAATATATGGGATAAAGTTGCTTCAAAATCACCATCACGCAGTAGCATGTTTATTTACCCTCATCCTTTTGACTGAATAAAGTTTATCGTTTTGAAAAACTATTTGTTTTGTAGCTCTTGGTTACCGGTTTACGTTTATGTCGATTTTGGCGCCCATGAGACCAACAAATTGTGGTAATCCGCGAATGAAAATGGACATTCGAAGAGCACAAAAGCCAACTCCTAGCTATGTAACTTTATCGCCTGAAGTTTGAATCAATCCAAAATTAAAATGCTGATATTGTAGATGCTTTCCATACTTGAGATGTTAGTGAAGTTAGTGAAGTTTGCCGTCTTAAAAATGCAAAATCATCAGTTGAAATTTCACTCGTGTTGTTTTTTCAAATTTTCGAATTTTTGTAAAATATCGTGTGCGCCTGCAATTTCTCTGCACAGTGACAACAAATTTCCCAGCTGCTGTGTTTCCGGAAAATTTTTTTCATATTTAGGAAAATTGGATATTTCTGGAAATATTTTTTTGGTATGTCCGGAAAAAAATTTTGAGACCTCCCCCCTTCCCACCCCCGTCGCCAACATTTACGTGAAAAAATTTTTAGATGCCCTTTTTTATTCGGAAAGTGCCCCTCAAAGCCTGCCCCCCCCCAACTTTTAGAAGCTTCCTACGCCCCTGGACAAATGTTTTGATTGTTGCGGGGTGCCTACATGATGTGGCGGCGTTTCTACTAGAATGTTGTTAAAAGTTAACTAACTCTCGAGTAATGATATGGTAATTGGGGGCTTGAGTGGTCTCATAAGTGGGTGCAGAGGAGAGACACCTCATTCAGGCATTTTCTGAACTGCCACCACGTCATGTAGACTCCTTGCAACAATCGAAACATTTGTCCCCCTGAAGACCCAAGCCAATCTGGTCATTTTGAATGTTTTCACAAGGGTGATGAGCAGAGGCTAGAAACATGGTAGCAGGATAGGCTGATATCAAAGGCGGCAACAAGGAGTCAGACTGCAATAAGTACAAAATAAAATTATACTAGAATACTTTATAGTAGTGTAATTTTCAGTTTGCATCATCAACCTGCAAAATTTCTGTCAACCTGCAAAATTCCAACCTGCAAAATCCCCAACCTGCAAAATTCCAACCTGCAAAATTCCCAACCTGCAACATTCCAACCTGCAACCTGCGTTTTGTACCTGCCGCAATATTGAGTGTTGTATCTTATAGTAATTACAAGTAGCTACGAGTATGAAAGTTGCTGGAATACTTAATCATGATGGAGCCAAGATTATAGCAGTGAAATTACACGTATATGCATGACATGTACCCGATTCATTTCCTCAAAGAATCCAACTTTCTTTAGCAGGTAGTCTTCTACTGCCTCAGTTGTAAAATACTTTGCCAGTTTGTGCATCGGTAAACCATCCACAACAATATCTTTGATATTGGAAAGAAATGCCCCTTACGAAAAATTCCTATAAGAATTCCTTTAAGAATTTCTATAGGAATCTTTTAGGAATTCCTATAGGATATTGTATAGGATTTTTGGACTTTTCCAATAGGAATTCTTACAGGAATTTTGATAGGATTTCCTAAAGGAATTCCTATAGAATCCAAAAAGAATTCTCATAGAATCCTAAAGAATTCATATAGGATTCTATAGGAATTCCTTTAGGATACTATAGGAATTCCTTTAGGATTCTATAGGAATTCCTTTAGTATTCTATAGGAAATCCTTTAGGTTTCTATAGGAATTCGTTTAGGATTCCATAAAAAATCCTTTAGGATTCTATAGGAATTCCTTTAGGATTCTATAGGGGTTCCTTTAGGATTGTATAGGAATTCCTTTTTGATTCTAAAGGAATTCCTATACACTCCTAAACGAATTCATATACAATCCTAAAGGAATTCCTATACTCTATAGGATTATTATAAGGAATTCCTATTTGAATGTCCTGGCACTAAACTGAAGGCAAAGATGAGCAAATTATTGACAGTGTGCATATATTATAAATATTGACTTTATTTACAAATTAAAATATCAGTTTGTAAAGAACACAGTTTTTGTTTTTTGGGGCAACAAAAATGAACTATAGTTTTTTTAAGCCAAAACCTATAGTTTTAAAAAGCTATAGTATTTTGGAACAAAAACATAGTTATGAAAACTATAGTTCTGACTAAAAACTATAGTTAAAAAAACTATACTAGTTTAGTTGAAAAACTATAATAGTTTCTGAAACAAATATTTTAGTATACCACGCATGCAGCACATCACCACCTAGCACATGAAATTTGTTCATCTGATAACATTATTTTATTAATTTAATAAATATAACAAGCTGTTTGCATAATAATAAACTATACAGCTAATTCAATTAAGGTTGTCTTTCCAAAACCTTAAGGCCCGTTTACACGGGGATTTTTGCTGCGATTTTCTTCTGATGGATGTGAAGAAGTGGATGAGTTATAAATGTACCAGGTTATGAAATTTCATAACAAGGTCATTAAGTAATCTACTCCTTCACATCCTCCAAAAGGAGAAAATTGCAGCAAAAATCACCCGTGTAAACGGGCCTTTAAACCTTAAACTCTGAGCATGCAAGGGATGATGGGTTGGTTTTCAAATATTTGGCCCATAATTAAACTTAGAGAATTGCCTTTGCAGGAATTGTGTTTTCTACTGTGCTGCCTCGTACCCAGGCGTCTCTTTGTAAAAAAACAGTGATGCCCATATGACGTGTTTACATGAAGTATTGTAGTGGGGAGAGATTGCAAAGGGGCTGATGGGAAGAGTGCACTTGAACTGCGAGACGCCTGGCAGTTCTTGGTCGATTTCTTGCAAGTTGTGCTATTTCGTTGTCGTTTACGATTTTTTGCTACTTGTTTTTGTTGAATTGACTAATGTTAACATTCTTCTGTCATCCGGGCGTGAATTCATGCTGTTATTCTTGGTATATATGACATATATATGCCCTTAAAGTCCATGGAAATTCCAATATTAACATGTCAACAACCGAAGCGTTGAAGAACTAGACTTGCAGGAA